TAGACCACATTCAGGAGAAACTCAGGAAGGTGATGGCTGATTTTGATGACATTTAAGATATTGCATGACTAGATTTGATAATGCATTTAGTGCCATGGAATGTATCTGAAATGCAATTTGATCATATCTGTTCAGATGTTGGCCAAAAATTACCGATGGAATGGGAAAAGGAAAGGGAAGGAATCCTATAAAAAGTTACATTCCTATTTAAGGAAGCAGTATAAAAGGGGTATGTAAGTAAAATGCATGTATGTAAGGAGAAGGGTGTATGTATGTAAGTAGGTAAGTTGCTGTTGCTTTAATGAAATACCATTCTACTGATTTACAATGGATGCTGCTGGAATATATTCATATTTTTTAAAGGATTCCTTACCTATCCTTTCAGGCAGTTTGATATGGGGATGTTCTCTAGCATATTGCACCTCACTATATTATTGTGTAAATAGCTGCAGCACTTTCTGTATGGTGGTGAGGTAAACTTTGTTAATACACCATCAAAACTCCTCTTGAGTAAGTGTTCCTCCTGTATCTCGGGTGCAGGACAATTTGTCTAATCTCTTATATGTGTCATTTGCTCTGTGTGGTGTGTGGTCCTTCAAGGAGTATAATCATAGTATTTAAAAAAAAAAAAAAAAAAAAAAAAAAAGGCAATACAGTACAAATACAGTACAGAAGAAACATAAAATAATTGATTTCTTTTATTTATACCAGATATTTTTTCATAAGAAAAGACAGAAGATATACGAAAGTTGCTTGTGATTCTGTCTTGTTATTGTCTTGATATTGTCTTGTGAATTACAGCCAATTTAATAATGCTTTTTCTAATATACCAGCTTCCAGATCCTCCTATTTATCCTTTATATTGCTCATAAAGGAAAAATATTTATATTGCTTAATCTCACAGTGTTGTACAGACTTCAAAGCTATCCAGCAGGTTGTCTTTATATTTTCAATTGGCCCTGTCTTTTTACATTTTCTGTGAATTCCTATTCTCTTTCTGATACTTGTAGTTTCTATGCACATACCGGATACTCTTGTCATCATTCCAGGTTCAAATGTCTGCTAGCAAACCTAGCAAGTCTTTATCCAAAGTTGTCCTTCACTAGTTCATAGTGAAATTGTTAATAATCATTCTCCTGTAGTCAAGTGAGTCTAAATCCATAGCATACTTTCATTTGTGATATCTTGAGTCTCCATTCTTGTTCACAAAGAATAGAGATTCCCAGGTTTATTATTATTATTATTATTATTATTATTATTATTATATTATAATAATAATAACAATTGTTTGTAGTCGAGATCACTGTGATACTTTCACTCATTGATAATAATCAACACTGCTACAAGTTTTAACTTTTTTCTATATTCCAGTCTTTTTACCAATAGCTTGTTTATTTTTTACCTGTAGAGGACCTACTGAAAGTTCAGTTCCAAAGAGTATTTCCTCAAAATCTTGAAGTGATGATTGATGGAATTAATATTTTCTTAGGTATAGTTAATCTGTGTACTGTGCAATTTTCTATGTTGTGCTGTGAAACATTTGAGAAACATTTGAAAAAAAAAAGCTATATTGGTTCTTTCTATTGTTGGTATATTGATATCCTGTACTTTATTTGTATTTGTGCTTTCAGACATAAGCTGAAATATATTTATATACAAACTTTTTTATATTAACATAAAATTGGAAGGTTTAGGATAAGGTATTAAAATCTGGGAAATAAACCACATCCAAAGCTCTTAAGCAAGGTAAAGAGATCCCCAAACGTGAGTAGAATACTGCTAAATTGTTGGAGAATTTCCAACTGTTTTAAATTGAGATTCCCAAAGTATCACAAGAACACCAACATCACAGGTTTGATCTGTTCTATGTTCCAAACTGATCCACTGTTATTCTGAGATGCATAATTTTTTATATTGCTTAGTAAATCCCTGTTTCCCTTCTGTCGACATCCTTTTACTTTTTCCTAAATTCGAAGTCAGTTTCAGGAAGCAAACCATTTTCCAGATATGCCAAGATGGGATTATACTGTCTGTCCTCATGCATCATCTCTGCTTTCTAGCTTTTAATAAACAACCTAAAAATGTAGTTATTACTGCTTATAACATCATGATCTTTTATCTCTAAGACCTCTCCTCTCAAGGTTTCTTGAGAAGCAGGGCAGATAACAACAGGATGCTGTTTTATCATAGGCAATTTTCTGATTTTTCTTTTTTGTTGTTGTTGTTTCGTTGGTTTTCTATTGTGGTTTTTTTTTTTTTTTTTTTCCTACTCCAGATTTACTCTTCCCCAGGTGAAGGACTTTGCACTTTCCTTTGTTGAATTTTATGAGCACTGCATTGGCCCATCCCTTCAGCCTGCTGAATTCCCTCTGGGTGGCAGCAAGAACTTCGTCTTACCAGCCACTCTTCCCAGTTTGGTGTCATCAACAGCCCCATCATCCAGATCGTTAATGAAGATGTTAACTAGCCCTGGAGCCAAGGTCATACCAGTAGCTACTGGTCTCCATCTAGACTTCAAGCCACTGGTCAAAACACTGAGCTTAGCTAACTAGCTCACTGCCTGTTTGTCCGTCCCATACAACAGCATATCTGCAGAGAAGTTGCTCGATCAAGGTGGACAGTATTTACTGATCTCTCCTCATCTCTTAAGTGAAGGATTTCATTGTAGAAAGTTGTCAGTTTGGTCAAGTACCATTTCCCTTTGTGGATCTGTTCTGACTACTCCCAGTAATCTTTTTATCCTTCATATTTTATCTTTGATGCCTGTGATCTAGCTCCAGCTGTTCCTTGGCTCTGGCTCCAATTGGGAACATGGATTTTTCTAGTTCCTGACTGCTGTTATTTAAGGGAACACTTTGGAGGCATTTCTTATTTTCTTTGCATCTGAATTTGCTATGACCATAATATCTGTCTCTACTCATCTGCATTGCAGCTGAAACCACTAGAAGTGGGCATTCACATCATGACAAGGAATAAGTTAAATATGCTACATGAAGTTTGACAAGAATGAGAAATATTTTTGTTTTAAGAAAGGTCACCATTGCCTGTGATATTAGCAGCATGTCATATGTAATTGATTTAATCATGTTTTCAAATAAAACAAGCTGTAGTCCAGGAATTCCACTAAGGAGAAAGAACTATTTATGTTTATTCTTGAAGACATCCTAATACATTCTACTTGCTTTGAGATGAAATAAAACATATACTTGAAAGGCTGAATCTTCATGAAAGATAAATGGTGTTCAAAAGATTAAAAAAAATAAATCAAGGCATATTTAAAAAAAAACCATTTTTTTAAGTATGGGGGGCCACAGACATTTGATCTTGTATTATAAAACCAAAGACAAGAAAAACAAATGTCTATTTCAGTATGAAAGTTTAAATATCTTTTCTTAATAGTTGAAATATTCTGATGAAAATATCTCAATCTTCTACTTTTTTTTCCCCCCAATGGAAAAATAAGTACATTTCCAAACATTTGATGTTACATGACTTGCTATTTTCATAAGTCAGTTCAAATAGAAAATATTATTAGCTCTGTTGAAATGTTAATAACCTAATTTCTTTTTTTTTTAAATTGCTTAGAGTGTATGTTTCTTTTGTCAAATATTCATTGCACCAAAAAAACCCCACAGAATGTCTCTGACACTATCATAATAGCATATACAAGTAGGTCCTTTTTAACAAGTTTTCATTCTGAAAGCTGTCATTTATCTGCATATTATGCTGTGATATACTCTACTAAAAAGAAAAAAAGAACAGGAATATATGGGGAGGAAGTGATGGGAGGGAACATCTTAGAATCAATGATTATCAAGCACATTAACCTTCATTGATTTATTTGTCATGATTGCTCTTTTGAAATATTTATCTTTGCTTTTTAAAATAGCAAAGTAACAGCTATCTAGGAAGGAAATACTGACTTAGCAATGAGTCTTTCAAATTCGATGTAGAATATCTGGAGGTGGAATACACTCCACAGAGTTTCTTGCTTTGAATGTTCATGCCTCACCGGAAAGCCTCTCCTTCCTAAGACAGTAGGGCTTTCTCTTAACAGTTTCTAGGGGAAATTTAATTTAGATCTGTGTTTTCTCTTAAAAAAATGTGGGGAATGACGAAGACTCTTCCTGACAGCCAACTGATGCACAACAATATGAATAAAAATGTCTTTTAAATGATATAAACACAAAGAGTTACTGGTATATTCTCGTTAGGTAAGTTACCTGAATATTTGTTCAGTATGCATCCTCTCTAGAGTTATAAAGAATCATTCAGCTGTTTTACTGACATATAGATCATGGTTAACTTCTTATTTATTAGGCCTTAGAAGGACTTCTTGGCAAGTCCATTTGGCTTGCAGTAGGGAAATGTGTGCTACAACTGCTTAAACAAGATTTGGCTTGCTCATACTACAGTAACATCATTACCTGTGTTGCCAGGGTCTTGTTTCAGATTTATAGACAGGGGGGTGACATCACTGTGGTTCTTCAACATTTACACCTCATTTGCTGAATCATTCTGGAATAAGAAATGCATCTTTCATGTAAAACTCCCATTTCAATTACACGTCATTTGCCCTCCCATATTACAAGAGAGGAGTCAATTTACAGGATTATTCATGATGATCTTCTTGGAATCTTAATAACACCTCACACTGTAAGCCAGCATTTCCGTAGCACTTCATCATTATGGTGTTTTATCACTTAACAGAATTAATGATTACTTAACAACACTAGCTATACTGGAGGTGAGTTGGCAAGTTGGCCAGAACTTAAGACTTCTAAAGTTGCATTGGCTTATAATTTAGTTAATTACCATGCAAATAGGTGCAGAAGGGAACTGTGTAGTGCTCTGTTTTTTATCTGTGCTCTATGCTCCTAGCAACATTTCAATTCCAGTATACCTTATGTCAGCTTAAAAGATATTTTAGTGTGCAATGAGTCAGTGGTAGTGCAACTGAAATGGGTTAATACTCTTGCTCTGCCTTTTGTACATTTTAGGAAACCACACTTGGAATGGGCACCAGTTGTTATCCTTAACTAAAATCTCTGTGCAGAACCTGTAGACATGGGCCAAATTATCTTCCCACATCTTTAAGGTCAGTATAGAAAAGGAGATAGACATTTTGGGGATTTTACATATAGAATAGTCACTATTCACACTTCAAATGAATTATTTGGCTTGAAAAATTCTACTTGTTTTGAACAACAACAACAAAAAAGAAATCACATTGGTTTGGGCAATATAGATGAAATAATATTTGTCAATAGCCATTAAACTTATTCCATGTGACTACCTCAGTTGCTAGTTTTCTAAAACAGACTGTGCTCCCTAAACACTTAGATTGGGAAAAAGCAATTGCCTGCACTTTTTCTTCTGATTTTTTCTGGATGCATGCTAGTAAAGCCTTTGCAAAAATTAGAGACCCCTCGATTTCATGAAAACCAGGATATCATTACTTTCTTTGTTTCCAACACTGCAACAAGCACATGTGCAGGAACAATTTTTCTGTTGCATCTATTATTTTAACAGATATTTCTCAGACATACAAAAAGCACAATAGTTGCTTTATGAATATAAGGTTCTTTTAGATCTTTGTAATGGGCACTTTAGTAGCCCATTAAACTTTAGTAGCCCATTACACTTTAGTGGCTTTACATAATTGAATCATGCTTTAAGGTAAAGGGCAATAATTTTGTCTCACTTTTCTCTTGAGAAAAACTACAATTTCTTACCCATCAAACCCTAATTTTTTAAACTTCACAGACCTCAAAAGGCATAGAGGCATCAAGGAAAAAGACTGGATTACATTTCTAGAGGGAAAAGACTAATAGCTGTATTTTTGGGGGAAAACTAGAACATAAGGTAGGTCTGGATGACATTCAAGTTTGGGAAGGAGCATTTCAGGATTAGTATAATATTGATCTGTAATTACCTCTCTTTATGATCAGAAAACTCTTGATATCTTTTGCCTGGAGAAAGCTATTCTGCTCACATGATGTTAAGGATTGTCAGTTCTTGCCAAAAGGAGCACATCTCAGCAACAGTTCCTTCCAACAAAGACCAATAGAAAAGCAGAATGGAAGTCAGAGACATAAAATAGTTGCAGTGATTATACCTGAGAGATACATCTGAACACAAACATAAAAAGTAGTTTCTCTTCTATAGATTCTCTTCTTTAATTTCCATTTCAAATGTTTAGGAAGCCCAGATTCTTGGCCAATTAGATTAATTGCCAGTGTAATAATGGACAATAAAGGCAAAGATACAGTAAAATAGAAACTTTGAGGAAAATTTGAAAATATATAATTGTAGGCAGAAGGAAAATGCTAGCAAAGCCAGAAATTTCCTCCAAACTCTTAAACATAAAAATAAACAAAGCAAAAAAAAAAAAAAAAAAAAAAAACACCAAAAACAAACAAACAAAAAAAATCCACACATTTAAAAACCTGTATCAATGGTTGTCTAACATTTGTACAGTTCTTGTCATGATATCTCTAGGAATTTTTGTGTAATACGAATAACTAAAAGGTGATGTGGAGATGTACATAATTGCAGTAAATCTTTGTGGTTTTGGTCCCAGAAGACTACATTTTCAGATCACTATTAGTTACTTTCAACAGTGAAAAGCTAAAGATGAAGATGATGCTATAGAGATTATAAAAGGTATTTCCAAGACATCACAGTAAAGTATGGATTACTGTAAATTCGTATTCAGCTCTGTTTTACATTATGCACACATGCAGATGACTGTTGCTAAAATTAACTGGTTTTTTTTATAACGCTCTGTGCTTTTGAAATAAATCTATATCTCAGTACAAATATGAAATGATATCACCATTCACAAAATTTATGTATCTTATTAGTTCACAAGGTTTTTTCTAATAATCATGGTACAAGAATTAATTGGAAGTACAGAACCCCTTACTACTCAGACTTGTAGTCTTAAGTCTTAAATAATTTTTGAGTTAAAATCAGTAAATTCTTCTCAAACAATGGATCTTTACTTCTCAAAATTCTGTTTTACTTCAGAGTAATTAGACCTGAAAGTGACTTCAGTAGTCAAAAAGCATCAATTAACTACTTGCCAGAGAGTTAATACTATGGTAACAAATATGGTCGTGAAAACATGAAGTACATACATAGCATGCTCCATAATACCTTGAATTTTGTACAAGATTGTTTGCATCAGATGAGGTAATAAGCATTTTTTCTGAATTTCAATGTCTTAGTAAAACACTACTGTAATTTGTTATATATTACTCAACATACAGGATTACTGTTACCAAAATAGAATCTTATTCCAGGACTTTACCTCTGTTAGCAGGTGGGCTAGACTCAGTGTTCTCTTGAGGTCCTTTCCAACCCTTGCAATTCTGTAATTTTGTGACTTTGTCATATGTTTAAATCTGATTATGTGCAATGGTGAGTGCTGCATGAAGAGGCCTGCACTTCATATGAATATTTAACCAACGTCATTGTTGCCCATTCATCACACAAAGGGCAACAGCTTAAATAATGTTCCTTTTATTCAGTTATTTATGTGTTACTATGCTTTCTTCTTCCTGGGCACAGGTAAACCTAATGAAGGCCAAGTGCAAGGTGTTGCTCTTGGGGCAATCCCAGACCTGTCTTCTCCAAAGAACTCATTGAGGGCAACCTTGTACAGAAATACTTGGAAGACCTCGTTGATGAAAAGCTGGACATAAGCCAGAAGTGTGTGGTCTCAGCCTGGAAAGCCAATGGTATCCTGGTCTGTATCAAAAGAGGGATTGCCAGCAGGAGGAGGATTGTCTGCCTTTGCTCTGCCCTTCTGAGGCTCCAGCTGGAGTACTGTGTCCAGGCCTGGGGTCCACAGCACAAAAAAGATGTGGAGTTGCTGAAGAGTGTCCAGAGGAGGCCATGAAGATGAATGGAGGGCTGGAGAACTTCTCTTGTGAAGATAGGCTGAGGGAGCTGGGCTTGTTCAGCGTGGAGAAAAGAAGGCTCTGGGGAAGCTCTTTCAGCATGTCAGTAATTGAAAGGAGATTACAGACAGGAACTATCGTTTCATACAGGGAAATAGTGACAGAAAAACGGGGAACAGTTTATAGGAAGGGGGATTTAGATGAGATATTGTAAAGAAATTCTTTATTCAGAAATGATGAGGTGCTGGTGCAGCTGCCCAGAGAAGCTGTGGTGCGCCATTACTAGAAGTGCTCAAGACCAGGTAGGATGTGGCCTTGGGCAGCCTGAGCTGGTGGGGACAGTCCTGCCCACAGCAGGGGTTGGGGCAGGGTGGGCTTTGAGGTCCTTTCCAACTCAAGTCATTCTGTGATTCTGTCATTCTGAACTGTTGCCCTTAATGATGGAGTTTCAGGCTCAGGAGTAGTATAAATTATTAAAAATCTCTAAGGAGATTGTACTTCTCCTTAAAGTTTCAGGTTTCTGACATGTTTGTTGCTGAATATATCTCAATATTCATAACGTTTTTATGTACTTTGTATGTGAGAGAGTGATTTTATCTTTTAGTAACTTTATTTATACTCTTTCATTAAACTGGAGAATTGAGAATGTTGGAGACTGCATCAGAGAAGAAGGACAAAACTGCAAAGTTCAGCGTGATATTGGAATACTAACAATCCCAGTAAAGTTGCACATGGTAGGAGAAGTGGTCTGGGTAGGGATTACTGAAATATTTAAGTTTTTCTGTGTGCCAATAAACTGTGCAAAAAGCTGGAAACAAAATTTCCCCTGATGCAGGTAAAGAGAAATGATGGAGAAGTTATTAGATTTCCAACAGCTTCAAGGATCAGTCCTTATTGCATTAAACTTTGTTTATAATAAGTATCACAGAATCTGCTGCACAAACACTAAGATTCAGGTGGAAATTTTTTGGGGGACATTTCAAAATATGTGCTGTGCCAGTCAAAATCTTTCTGATCTCTTACCTGGTTCTCTGAACATGTCTTCCCAAAGAAACCAAGGAATTTGTTGAGGAACAGAGAGTGGGCTCTACTTGAGCCCAGGTTTTGGCAATTGAATTCCCAGCGTAAGTATCTTCAAGCTAAGCAAAATACATGAGTTCAGTGCAATAAGATTGCTGTACTTCCCAAACTATAATTCAATACAATGAAATATTTGGCAGATCGAGCACTAAAACATAAACAGGTAAGGATTTCAACAGGACTTTCATTTTTTTGTCTATCATGTAATACATTTATGAATTTTCAGCATTTTTTTTCAACAAATATGCAAACAAACAAAATAAAATCCACATTAATCACTGCCTTTCTTAGTGGCTCTGAGTAAAATCAATACTGTGGTCTTTAAACACTGAACATTTACAGATTTCAAATCTTCATACCTTTGAATACCACAAAAACTTTTCACATCCAAACAGTGCAAAGCCACATAGTTTTGTGTTTTATTTATTAAAAAAAAATAAAAGATGTGATCTAATTCACAATAACTTGGCACCAGGAATATCTGGTATTAAAAGACAATAAAAATGTCCCAGAATCCTTGCTTCTGTACAGTTTGTGATTTTCAGTGTCTATACTCAGAAAGTTCTGACTAATGGCAAATTGGCCATGTGATTTGGTCTGTAAAATCCACAGGTCTCACTCTGTTTTTAATTTTATGGGTGTAACTCAAAACAGTGCTTAGAATTTCAATAGGATTAATCCCATGGAAGAAAGTAAGTGAGAACAGGCTGCAAACCATATTGTTACAAATCTGTTGTTTAACGACTAATTCTTCCAATTCCAGTATAACTCAGCTGGATCAATGGGAAGGAGGAAGTTAGTGACAGGAGTGGTTAGATCAGGATCAAAGGTCTACTAGGGCCAATTAATTCTGTATCTATATGATAAATCTAAATGATAGAAAAACATTTTCTATCTAAATGATAGAAAAACATTAATACTTTAAAAAAAGAAAGATGGAGCTGCTGTTTTAGAGTTGTCAGCAATGGAAATATTTAGACAAACAGACAGATGCAAATTTGAGCATAAATAGATGAATACTACCTTTGATCTTCAACTTCCAATGTTTTCATAGTTTCAAGACTGACTGCTTCTGATGCGATAAGTTAGAAGATTTTCAAAGTCACAGTATTTCATTTTGGGCACAAGTGTTTTTCAGAATGAACAGCAGGATATTTTCCTTTCAGTTGATTTTATTATTTTTCTCATTTCTCAGGGCCCAGACAAATAGTCTTCTTAGATATTTTCTTTTGAGAACAACTTAGAAGCGCTGTAGCTGATGTAGGAATATCACAGCAAAATGAAAACAAAATCCAGTTACTCTACCCCTAAATCAGATAGCAAAGGTGTTTTTTGTGTATTATTTACTGACTGACTGCAATAGCCATAGATATCTTCTGAATTCAGTATTATCTAGGGGACAAGTAGAAATGTACCTGAAAATAAATTCCCAAAATAAAAATAAAGGAAAACAACTTTGCTACAAAGTTTCTGTAAAATTCTTTAATTCAACTGGTAATTCTAATCTCCCTTATTGTTTCTGCAATTTTTATAGCAAGTATTACAAACAAGGTAAATCATTTGTCACCTGCCATTTACTTAGTAGATACAGAGCTCTCTGTAAGTTTTTTGAGATCAAACTGTAGTAAGCAATGCTGTAAAGTAGCCCTTCATTTTTTATCATTTTGAAAACCCATAATTTTTTATTCTTTCCAACTGCTGATAATTCAGTCAGAACTCCTGTTTTTTGATGCACAAGAAGCCTTTGTAGAATTTCACTTAAATATCTTTTGTTGAATTATCCATATAGCATTTTCTGAAGTCTGATAAATGCTCATGTCTGTGACTGATCTTGTTCATACAATTTCACTAAATAAAAAGTTGCTCAGATGTGCTATTGTGAAAGGGTAGGCTGACTTACATCAACTTGTGACCATTTCAGAACAATCAGTAATGGAGACAACAAATTGTCATGACCTTAAATATAGTGTAAAGACTATTTAATTGAAAAAATGTTTTCAGAGAAAGAAACAGCACTATTTTCCAATGAACAAAGACCTGTTTTGTCCATGTCCCCTTGCTTATCTTAGGTTCATCAAAGTTTCTTCCAGAAAGTGAATGGCTTCAGAACCAATGCAATGTGAAGTTCTTCATTTTGATGCCATGATATTAGTAAGGAGGAAACTGTGAGTTTGATGAGATCCATTTGTCCCTTTTTCATTTGCATTTTCAGGTTGTTTCACTATTTTTCCATTTTTACAATGTAGCATCCCTGCAGTCAGAGGACACTATGGTTAGATTTCTTTTTTCCCACCAAATATGCTGACAAAATATTAATTTGAAAATACAGGGAGGAAAGCAGTTACTGGAGAGCAGTGGCATGTAAACCATGACCTTTTCTTTGTAAAACTCTGTGTTTCCAGAAGAAATATCATGAGGGGAAACTACTAAGTCAGCCAGCATAAATTGGATTGGGCCAGTTCCAGTGGAACAATCTGGAAAAAAAAAGGCAACACAAGCAAGAATGTGTTTAATCTGGATGTGTCCCAGGTTTACGTAAGTATACAGAAAACTGCATTATGAGAGGAACAGGATAATTGATGTCACAGTGATATAAAATACAACTTTGACTTTCTGCATATTTAGCTATTTTTACCCACATTATCTTACAATGCAGTGTCTTTTCACTAAACAAACACAGACACTTGCAATAAAGTACATAGTTCTTTTTCACCCCTATCTTCAGCTGAGAGCTTTAAGCAAGCAAAAATGTTCTGGTAGAATCATAGAACTAGTCAATCTATTGGTGTTATGAGCCAATGTATTTTACAGGTACATAAATCTTCCACTAAAAAGTAAAAGGAGTAGATCAATGCAGTAATCCAAGACCTGTTGATAGCTAATAAGTTTTGCCTAAACCCATTTTGTTGTCTTCTTCGGAAACCATTGTTTGCAGTGAAAACTGGCTTACCCCTGACTCCAGTGTATTAATGGTGCTGAATTCAATGGAGGGCAGCTGGTTATTTTCACAGCATTCAAATGCATGCTCTATAGTGCCTCACACAGAATGCAATATATGTATTTTTTCCCTTAGGAACCTACATCCTAAGGGCTGGTCTAGACTGCAGAGCATAGCTGTGTCTGGGTTTCTATATGTGCAAACACAGAGACCAGACAAAAGACTTAGAGGCCAAATCCTACCATCCCCCAGGAAACTTTCCAGCAACCACAACCACTGAGTTTTATAATCCCAGACATTACTGAACTCTATCAAAAGTCTAATCATTTATCAATGTGACCAAAACACAAAGAATGTTGAATGTCACAATTGCTAATCTGACTGCTAAGTCTCTAATCTTGATCTTATCTTTAACCTAGACATATGTTTGGCAGTTAGGAGTTGTGAGTGGCTTCCCCACACTTCCACACCTAATCATCCTTTTGCCTTTTTTGATAATGGAAATGTGGAGAAGGAAGGAACTCATTTTCACTCTAACTAAAAAGCCAAACTTTTTTCATCATATCTGCCATGATCAGGAAAGCAAGATTACATTCAGGTTCTCTGACTTCTGAAATTCCTTATTCTGCCTTGTCTAGTTCATCACCTGATAACACAGCCCTGAACTGTACATATGTATCAAGTGGTGCCAACTGCATTTGTACTATCACTGGCTTTAATTTTGGCATAATTTCCTGTGTTGGATAATACCATCCTAAAAGCTACCCACTGAGGCAATGGAAAGCACTATTTCATGTATCTTTATGGTAGTCAAGAAAGTGCTAGTCTTGATCCTCGTGTCTTACTTTACAGTAAGATGGTTTTGAAGTGCTTAATGTGCTCCCTTCCATTGTCAGCTGTTGAGATGCTCCTTTCTTCTGCCAGTAATACGAAAGATGCAAGTGTTTCTGATGCTCATTTCAATACCTTGGGATTCCCTTGACTGGAAGGTTAATCTGAGCACTGATATACTTAGCAGCTTGATTACTGCTGAAAATGATCAGGCAGATCTTTCTAGTAGCTGAATAAAGGAACAGAATTAAATTCCTAGAAATTTCATGGACAGCTGGCTGGATAAAGGTGAAAGATTTTCCACAGTGCCGCAATCAGTCTGTGCTGATAATGTTAGATAAAGACAATTAAAAGGTAAAAGCACTCCTCCACTTTTATCTCTCACCAAAAATGTTTCAGGTAGAACTTCCATGATGAGTTAATTGTGACAATAAATTCTGAGAGAAAGACATTTTATGACATGAAGTAATATCATTGAGATGCTTCTATAGCCAATACCTTGCAAACCCTACCTTTGCAACAGGTGCCAGTAGGATTTGTTCTGCTACAGAATACAGTTGTAATAGGAATGCTCTCCCGAAATATTTTCATTTCTTTCTGGATAGTACAAAAGCAAATGAGAAGTCACATTGCCTACATTCCTCATCATCTGAAGGGCAGAGAAATTCACATGGCAGTGCAGTCTAACATCCACTTTTATACTTTCAAGGCTATATGAAGGCATTTGTTTCAGCAAGAGTGCATTCATAATGCACCTTTAAGTAAGAATGTTACCTTTAAAGTAAGAATGAATAATACTAGAGGACCATTATTTCCAGGATGTACAGTGACAGTTATGTGTAATATTCCCTAAATCAGCTTCTGTTTGATTGTGCCCTGACATCAGGGACATCAGCCAAAGAAGGGGGAGGTAAATGTCTAACTCTTCCAGCAACTTATTAATGTGTCAGATGGATGGGAAATAAGCAGTGATAACATCAGGTGCACATCTGAGTCTTGCCTGCCAAAGGTGGACCTGCATAACCTATGCTGTAACCAGCTGTCTAGGAGTAATTACTTGGTCTGAGACAATTTAGTTTTAGAAAGCACAGAGCCTTCACAGCTTTGTTGCCCTTCTCTGGACACACTCTAGGACCTCAACATCTTCCTTGTAATGAGGAGCCCAAAACTGAGCACAATACTCAAGGTGAGGCTTCACCAGGGCTGAGTACTGAGGGACGATCTACTCTTCGCTCTTGCTGGATGCACTATTTCTAATACGAGCCAGGATGCTGTTGGCCTTCTTGGCCTCCTGGAACAGTGCTGGCTCATGTTCAGCCATGCATCAATAAACACTTCCAGATCCTTTTCTTCTGTGCATCTTTCCAGACACTCTGCCTCAAATCTGTAGAGATACATAAGTTTGTTGTAATCAAAGTGCAAGACTCAGCACATGGTTTTGTTGAAGCTC